CTCTCTCTCTTTTTTTTTTTTTTCTCTGACAAACATGCAACGAACAGAGCTAGACAGAAGACAACGTTAGCGCAGTGAAACGAGTCCACCTGAGAGAATAAGCATCAGCAGCTGAGACATACACCCCTCGTTAATGGGACAGGACTTTAATACGTACCCCTAACCCCGCCCCTCCCCCAAATCCCATCCACCTCTACTCACCCCTTATCACCACCCTCTCTCCCTGAATCATTTCGTGGAATGGGCCCCCGGTAAAGCAGTAAAAAATGCATGGCCTTTAAGGCAGATCTCGAGGTCTCTCCTTGATAAAAGTAATCAAGAGGATACAGAATGAGAGCACTGAACTTTAGGTGTTTGTTAAAATGGAAACTAGGCCTTATTTATTGATAACGAGCTATTCGTAGCTGCCTTTTCAGCAATCGGTCGAAATGGAACACACAGACAAGTTGTCTTCAACAACTAAAACTAAACGCTGTAGACAAAAAAGAAACCAACAAAAAAGAAACTGTAGGGTAGGGTTGATCCCAGAGGTAATTTAAACTCAACATAAGATAAACAGCATGAGCCACTGAGTTATTATTTTTTTAAACTAATAATATCGTTATTATCATTAGATTCTTTTTCTTCTCATTATGATCATTTTTACTATTATAATCATTATTGTTGCTAATAATTATCCTTATAATTGAAGTACTTGTACTAATAGCAACAGCAGCAGCAGCAGCAGCAGCAGCAGCAGCAGCAGCAGCAGCAGCAGCATTAGTCGTAGTAATACTAGTACCATCATTGTCAAAATTATTATCTCATCTTTCTTATCATCATAATTATAATTCGGACATTATTTTTTTCGCTATGTCAGCTATTGTTACTCTTGTCCTAAACGTCGACACACTGGTTATGGCAGATGGTAAACTCAAAGTATCAACTACGATACTGCTTTCTGTCGAAACTGATTTGTTTATGTATACAAAACGCTCCCCAGTGTAATTCAGCAAACACTGACGGGTCCCTGGTGGGTGGGAGAGACCTCACAACTGGTGGGAATGAGGGCGGAGTGGGAGAATTCAAGTGTAAGATTGGAGATGGGTGGCTAGACAGGAAGTTTGAATTGGAAATGGAGGGAGGGGGTAGAAAGGGGGTCAGGGGGAGAGAAGGGG